ACCTGCTCGCTCCAGTTAGCTACACAAAGGAATAGCAGAATTCCACTTGGAATATATCAATAGGTATGTTTGAGTTTCAGGAAATAATAGAGTCCTGTTGATTAGTTGTGAACTAGAACAAATAAGCCACAAGAGGGCATAGTATTTTTCTTGGTTTCATCACCCTTATACAAATAAGGTTTGCATCCATTAGTATCCCAGGAATCCCTCCCGCTCCCCTACTTTCTTAGAAGAATACACTGTGTCTGAAGTGTGCTCTAGGGGTGGAGTGCTTTTGGTATGTGGTATTAAGAAAAGCAAACTTAAAAATGGTATTTTTTTTTTTCTATGGTGCATAGGAAAGTTGTTTTTCCTTAAAGTACTTCCTTGGGGATTGTTTCTTGATATAAGAACTTTTTTTTTTTTTTTAAGAGCCATTTCTTTAATGTTAAACTCCCCATTCTGCAAAAGCTATGTGGACTTCTATATCAGGACCAGAAAGCCTTTCCAACCTCAAGTGAATGTTCATAAGACAAGGAGGTTTTCTTTTCTGAGGTCTCAGGACTTGGGCCAGAGGGGTTGGGTTGTGTTTTTATTTTTATTTTGAAGTGCATTCCTGCCGAATTTAATTATTCACCACACCCCAACCCAGCTAAGTAAATATAACCTTAAGATTCTGGCTTGAAAAGGTTTAGAAAAATAGCTGATTTTTTTTTCCTTCTTTTCTCCACGAAAAAGTTCTATAGCTGGGCGCTGCGCATTGGAGTACATTGAGGCAGGAATCAGAGGGAGCTGGGTGATCTTCTTGGCCTTGTTGTCCTTACGTATAACATGACGGCTAGAAGGTTCGGAGGCTTCCCCTGGTTCTGAATGTGTATGGTTATTTATGATGTTATAAAAGTTTAAAACTCAAAGATATTAAATAAAATTCTGACAGTTTTACATTTCACTTAGCTAGCCATAAACTATTTTATGTCTTTATCTGATGATAAGAAACAGAGATTCATTTACTTCTGAGAGTTCTATAGAGATGTAATTAATATTGAAATAAAAACAAAAGTCAGACGTGCTTTTTCAACACTAAAAATGATCTAATGATGTTAATATGTAACTACCTAATGATCCAGTGATGAGGGGATCGCCATGGTCAAATGAAACAAATGGAAAAAGTACCTTGTTTCTAAGGGGAAAATGACTGATACAAGATTAGGTAAGTAGCTTTTACCTCATGCCATCACTTGTTTCAATTAGACATAAAGTAACATATATTTCAGTTTTCTCCTATGAGTATAACATTTATCTGTCACTTGATATGTTTATATGTGGGAACACATTCATAAAGAGTATTTATTGTGAGGCAGGGAGGTTTTATATATGACCAAGGTATGACTAATTTTACAGATGGGAACACTAAATGGCTTGGGTTTTAGCTCCATTTCCTTGTGTGTGTGCATAGAACTTTGCAATCTCTTTTACTGACCCATTCCCCCCCCCCCCCCCAAATACACCCAACTTCCATTTGTTTTGTGAATAGAAGTCTGTACAGAGAGAATTTGGACTGCAGATTCTGTTGAAAAGGAACTACTGGCTAATTCCTTCTGTAGAAAGTACAGCCAAGTCCTCTGAGATTTTGCTAGAGTGAAATTCTGGACCCAGTAATTATCTTCCTTCTGCTGCCTTCCCCTCTAACTCTCAACATAGATTAATGCTTTTTGTTTGTTTGCTTGTTTGTTTTGTTAACCCTCACCTGAGGATATTTTCCCATTGGTTTTTAGAGAGAGTGGAACTGAAGGGGAGAGACCGAGAGAGAGAAACATCAATGTGAAGAGACACATTAATTGGTTGCTTCCCACATGTACTCCAACTAGGGCTAGGGATGGAGCCTGCAACCTGAGTTACATGCTCTTGAACAGAGTCAAACCCTTCAATCCTCTGGCTGACACTCTACCTACTGAGCCAAACCAGGTAGGGCTAGACTGATTCTTGAAATTCTACAATTCAAACTCCATTATTCGGCTTCCTTGAGTATTAAAATGGGATACTTTGAGAAATTGTGTATTTCACCTTATCAACCACATATCTATTAGCATACAGTAAGAATAACTTGCTCATATTCTATCTGTGAGTCCTAACGGAGATGGGTGAGAGGTGGTACGCCATAGAGGAAGACTGGACCCTCAAGGCAAGTTTACTTCTTCAACCATAATCCCAAGCACTAGAAAGCATTTTGATTTATTTTTCCTTCTTTTTTTTTCTTGCTTCCCCCCCCCCCCCCCCGACTAAAACAGCATAGCAGCATTAAGTAGTCCTGATGATATATGTGCCTCTTTCAATAAAATTAAGGGTCACTTGTTGAATCTTGAATAGTCAACCTTGGAGAGAAACTAAACCGTATGACATACCTTACATTTTAACAAAGCTTCCTTTTAAAACAGACTTTTCTCACGGGATGTTATTGCAAGGACTCCGATAGGATATTACCTCTGCAGAAGAGATTACCAATTGCTTTTGGTGACAATCTTAAATGCTTAGAAGTGGTGGTAAAACCATGCTGGTGGGATCCAGGAGAGTTGATACAAAAGCAGAAATAAATTCAGTGACTGATTTTCACCATCATATCCACTGTCTTCATTAACTCATTTAATCCTCAAGTACTTCTTAACACCTATTGTATTCAAGACACTCCCTGTATTCAAGAAGTACCCTGAGGACTGCAAAGCCATGGCCACAGCTGAGGCCATTCATCACAACTCTGGTCTGTGCCGTGCGTTCTGCCTGCTGCGTGCCAGAGTAATTAAAAGGATGGGCAACACGGAATGCAGTTTCCAGATGTTTTCTTCTCATGTGTGTTCAGGATGCCTAAGGAAAGACGGCCTAAATGTGAAGTCAGAGTTCTTCAAGCTAAATCCATTCAATACAAATTCATAGCAATGTTTTAGAGGCAGGGAAAACAGAGACACACTGTATCCCACACTCTTGTAAGAGATGCAGACACATGCATGACTCTATGATGTAGTATGAAAAGGGCTTATAATGGTAGTGAAATCAGAGTGTTTTGGGAAAGCAGAAGGGAGTGATTAATTCTGTAGGGGCCTTGTGAAAAAAAGATTAAAATAGTAGCAAAAGGGAGATACCATTTGGTTTGAGTATATTAAGCTAGAATTTAGACAGGAGGGGAAGAGGGGAAATCCAGAGTTAACCACGCTTCTAGTTAAATATGATTTTCTGGCCAATAAGTTGATACATATATTAGAAAATTAGAAAATAGAGCTTTTTAAAAAATAAAAACATGAACACACCATGTGCAAAACCCTAAGCAATGCTATGAGAGACAGATGAGATATTTTATCCTCACCATGAGCTTGAAATTTCAATCCAGGGGCAAGGGTGTTTATAAAAAATATATATAGAAAAGGCAACAAACACACCAAAATGAGTGGCATAACTTTGAATGTAAAGCATTCAGGACAAATTTGCTGTAGACTGAAATAGTCTATAGAAACTTCACTTCTCCTGTATGCAAAGAGGGATATTATGGGGTTGGCTCGTTGACAGTCAAAACCAAGGTTATAGACATGGGGCAGCATGGAACACAGGAAAGAACCTTGGTCAGAGTTGGGCACCTTGAGTCCCTTCTAAGCCTGGCTCAGCCACCAGCATCTGTAACTGCAAGTGACTCCTTGTGTTTCTGTGGCCCAAAGCTCTCTGCCACTGAGGGGACCTTGAATGAGGAGTCTCCTCCCCCTTTTCAGTTCTTCCATTGTTGCCATTGTCTGCCCACTACCCTCAAACCAGAACACCCCTTGTCACTGCCAAGGGAGCTAGGGGCCCATACAAGCTATGCTCTTAAATCAAACTGACAAAGACAGGACCCCATAGTTGTTATAGTCTCTCTCCCTGATTCCCCCTCTCTCCCCACCACCCTCGCCCCAGCTCTACCCCAAGTCCACTTTATGTTGGGGGCTAATAAGTGCAAGGTATGTGACAATAGACCTGGCTCTAATCACAGAAGGATTCACAATGCAGTTAGCAAGGCCCAGGCTTGAGGATTCATCACTTACACAGGTCCTTCCCATATCCCCGAGGGCAGCCCAAGGGTAAACATGGTCATAGGTTATGGCACAATTTGTAGGATTTAAATTATTTCTGTATCCTTTTTTTCTTTCTTCTTCTTTTTAAAAAAAATATTTTATTGATTGTTCTTACAGAGAGGAAGGGAGAGAGATGGAGATGTAGAAACGTCGATGAGAGAGAAACATCGACAAGCTGCCTCTTGCACACCCCCTACCGGGGATGTGCCTACAACCAAGGTACATGCCCTTGACTGGAATCGAACCTGGGACCTTTCAGTCCTACCGCTGAGCCAAACTCGTTTAGGCTCTGCATCCTTTTTCTTAAAATGGCTCCCACTTCCAAACCGTGTAAGTTTCAGACTCCTGAAACCGTGGACCCACCCTTTGTCCCCCTTTACTCCCCACTTTCCTATTTCATGACGAAGGTATGTACAGATCTACAAAGGATGCCTCCCAACCCAGGCGCAGGGGGCGCATCTCTGTGGGCCTGGTGTGAGGGGAAGGGGAAGAAGACCTGCATCTGGTGTTGGTTTCATCTTGGTCTTTCCTGGATGCCAGCCCCTTAATGGGGGGTGGATCTCTGTGGCTCATCCCCCTGCCTGCTCTTTCAAGGCCAGTGACAGCGGACCAGGTGTTACAAACTGGGACCCAGGTCCTCTTGGAGGGCCTTAGCATTTAAAGGGCAACCGCTGTCCTATTTCTTTCTCCGGAGGTCTTTGGAGACTTTAGGGTTCGAATAAGTCGGGCCGAAGTCAGAGGTTGCTTTGCAGAGTGGCCGGTCCTGAAAAACACCTCTCAGTGAAGCTGGAGCTCCAATGACTACGCGCTGCTGACAGCCTGCGGGCTGGGCTGGGATGGCCTTCTGCTGCCGGGGAGGACCTGCGTGAGCCGAGGGAGGGAGGAGGGGGGGGGGGGCGAGGGCTGGGGGAGGAGATCGGAAGGGGAGAGGTAATCCCCAGCCATTGAGCATCCCCTTTTTAGAAAGACTGAGTCTCTCCCAGGACAGCTGCTGCGGTCACACCACAAACTTAAAAGCCGTCCTCCGGCTCGGAGCGTGCCTTTCCTCGCCGCCCCAGCCGCCTCCCCGAAGCCCCAGCTGGTGCCTGGAGCCTGGTGCCTGGTGCCTGGTGCCTGGTGCCTGGCTCCGGGCCGGTGCGGCGCGTGGCTCGGGGGCCGGCAGCGCCCCCTGCCTCCCGGCCGGTCCTCCGCGGCCGCAGCGCCGCTCCCTCCGCCAGGGCCGCCGGGCTCCGCTCCGCCAGGGCGGCCGCTCCGGGGATCCGCCGGCCCGGGGCACCTCCCCGCCCGCAGCCCGCAGCCCGCAGCCCGCCCCCCGGTGCCCGGAGGGACATCCGCCGGGTAGAGAGAGGGCCGGGGGCGCCCGCGGCAGGTAAGGCCGGGGTCGGGGTCACCTGCTACTTCAATGGGGGGGCTCGCCGGGGAGCGGAGTGCAAACGGGGTGACTTTATTTGGGGGGCGGCTGTGGGTCCGAGGGGAGGATGCGGAGTGGCCAGGAGAGGAGGGACTGCCCGTTCTGGGGCAGAAAAAGCGCTCGGAGCAGACGGGGAGCGGGTGCGCGGAGGATGGACGGACGGACGGACAGCGGGTCGGTGCGCGGCGCCGGGACAGCGTGGCAGCGGGCGCGTCCCGTCTCCCGCCGCCCCGGCCACTGCCTCCGCGGCCACAGCTTCCATCGGCGGTGGCCGGCACCCGGCAAAGTTTTCTCCTCCAGATGCGCCCAGAAACTTCTCCTCGCCTCCTCCCTGGCCCCCCGGCCCGGGAGCGCGTGGGGACGTGCCCCGTGGCGCCCACCGGCTGCAGGTTCCTTCGGAGACGCCTCGGCGGGGACCGACCACTGGACCGACCGCGGGCATCGGAGCCTCGCTCCCCGTTCCCATTGGGCTGGGGGAGGGGAGGGGAGACCGTGGGGATTGTTTTTGTTGTGGTGCTTTTTTGGGGAGACGGGGGTGGGGTGGGGGATGGAGATGCCTTTTCCCCTGCGGCAGAGTCGCGGTGCTCCGTCGGAAGGAAGTCTGCAGCCTTCGGGACCCCGAGGGGGGCGTTGGAGGAGTCTGGGCCCAGACACGGAGCCGGCTGTCTGGGCTGTGGGGTTGCCGGGGGCTCGCACTTTTGCTGGAGCGCGACAGCCCTGAGGGACCCTCTGCTGGGCTCGGTCCTAAAGGTCCGGAGCGGACTCCGGCTGGGAACGTAACCCGGGAAGGATCCCCTCTCCTCCGGGGGTTTCCTCCCTGCACCCCGCCCGAGGTGACGCGCTAGCGGGGCTGCCCTTTCCAGCACTGGCCCATTCGCCTTCATTCTGACTCCTGTTCAACCTGGGGCGCTGAATGCCCAACCTGGCTCCCAGCCGATGGGAGGAGGAGGAGACGCACAGCTCTTGCTGGTAGGCTGGAGTATAGGGCACTAGACAGGAGCTGCACCACCGAGACCCCCAGTATCCTATTACAGAGATCGGAGTTGAATGGGTGCACTTTTCGCCACTTAGGCCCATAAAGAAAAGCAAGTGTCCCTAGGAGGACCCCTCTTTCTCCAGCGCCCCCCCCCCCGAACCCCCCCATTTTTCATAGCTACTCAACTGCTCTTTGCACAAGCACAAGAAGGGAGCAGGAGTGGAGGGGTTGGAAGTATCCAGTTTAGCAGGAAAGGGTTCTCCTCTTGAGTGTGTGTGTGTGTGTGTGTGTGTGTTTCAGGGGTGTGTGTGTGGCAGGGAGGCAGAGGAGAGAGGAGATGGGACCCTCCTGGGTCTGGTGCTGCTATTGTGTAACCTTGGCAACCGCCAGGACCAGAGCGGTCATAGCCTTCCGGGTTCCACACGTGGAAAGAAAAATGTGAAGGGTGGGGAAGGGAGAGAGCCACATGTCAACACTTCAGTGATGCCTCGCCTCTCTCGTGGCTCCTAGGCCAGACAGCAGGGAGGGTGAGTAGGAAGGGCAGGGTTTGGAAGGCTGCAGCCCCAGGAGGGAGCTGTTATAACTGTGTCCAGCCTTGGAATCCTCGAGGCTCATCCCAGCAGCTAATGCTGGCCAGAGGAGCCATCGCTGACAGACTGCAAAGTGATGGTCCAGGTCAGGGAGATGAGAAAAGATCTTGGTCCTTGGAAGAGAAAGGCCAGGAAATACCGGAAGGTGATGCGGGAAGAGATAAGAACAGGGTCAAGAGGTAACGGAGAGACAATAAAAACTGTTCTGATCTGAACTGGCAACATTGCAAATGGAATTTGCCCATTTATGAAATGGAAAATTAGTGGAGAAGCAAAGGGACATTTATCACACACATGGCATCCCAGGTGCTTTGTACTTATCACGATTATTGTTACCACCAGTTTTACAGAAAACGTCATTTTTTTAAAAGACGAAAAAGTAGAGAGACAGGGTTAAAATTGGGTGGCATGCCATTTTGGCTTTTTGAATCTTAAAGAATCATAATTCCCAAAAATGGTGTTGAAGGTTAGGGACAAGACAAAGCAGCTATTCTCATTTTAGAAATAAGAATAATGGGATATAAAGGTGTTAATTGATGTGTTCAAATATAAGCTGAGGGGCTGAGCTGAGTCTTGAATTGTTTTACCTGGATGAGGGCCACCTTCAGGCATCTTTCCATAATCCCACTTAAAGGAAGGGCCTTTTTAAGGTCAGTTTGCCTCTGCATCTCTGTATTATAATTTATAAGGAAAGAACATTCAAGTAATGTATAGAGGCCACATCAAGTCTACAGGCCGAGAATCATATGTATCTGATATTAATCATCTATATTTACCTAGATCTTATTGTAGCTTATATGAATTATTAGTGGCTTTAATAATGTTAGCAAAGGATAAATTAAATATATATTTATTTATTTATTTTATTTAATATATATTGTCAAGTAGTAAACCATGTCCCTGTTGAGAAAATTTCTGAGATTAGTGAAACTTTCCTTAGTCTTCTTATTACCTTCATGATCTGAATATCTAAAACCTTGCTTCATATTTCAGCACCGCTGGTTCAACTTTGTTAAGAATCTGTTGCCAATTCATTGGGAGGAGTGATGATTTGACTTCTGTTACCTTCCTGCTGACTTTCTGGGAGAGAGAGAGGTTAAGGGAAAATGCCTAGCAATGCAAAATGTTTTGGAATTATCTGAGAACTATAAACAACACAACAGAAACTAAAAGAAAAAGGTAGAGAAATAATTAATGTGGCGTCCCTTTTTTGCCTTCTTACAGAATTGCCTTTATAGTTATTAATGTTGATGGATTTGCATTATGTTTGTGCATGGGAAACATGTACAAAGAAAAATTGAAATTTTAATCTATTTCTTTCATGTGTGGGCAAGGGTGGAAGTGGGAATTATTTTTGGTAGCAGGGAAAGTCTAGAATATAAGCAATTACAAAGGCAGAGGAAGTACATGCAATGTTTACAATGACAGGCTAACAAATCAACTACATGTTTAAACTTGAGTCATTGAGCTGTATTATCCTGAATACTAAAAAAACACATTGTTTTGGGTTGGAGTTAAATGAAGATAGGAAGATTCCTGGCACCTTTTTTATTCTTCATAATATATTCTTATTCCATTGCATGGACATTTGGGAACTATCAAAAGGTTATCACAGACCTTGAAGAATCCCTGAAGATGGCTCTGAAACTGGCAGGTTCTGCTGCCTGGTGTGTGTGTACTGCTTGTACAAAGTTACTGGGTTGTCACCTACAGTTTTATGAATCAGTTGGAATATTAACCCCATAGTTGCAAGGGAAAACATTCCGGTTGGTGCTGGTTGAATGAATATTAGTATATCTTCAGGTTGTTATAGCTTCATTATTTTGTGGGGAAAATGTGACTGAATTTTATTGTTCTGTGTGGGAATCATAATGTTTTGATGATACATGTTCCTTGGGAAGCATTCTTGCCAATTAATGAATCACTTACTTCGCAAGTAAGAGTAACCATAGCTCTATTTTGAAAAATTGTTATTCTTTCCATAAGTACATGGAGTTATATAGATAACTCAAGTAAAATAACAAGTATTTCAACACTCAATAACATATTCCTTGAAAGAGAATATAAATATTCACATTTGTAAAATAAACAGTAGTAACAGTAATAATAATGATTGATTATGGGCAAATTTTGTTAATCACATTCTTTTTCACATCATAGACTAGGTTAAAAAAATACTACCTTACTCCAGGAAACCTTGTTCCAAATTCCTTTTTTATTTTTATATCTTCATTATGCCTGTCAAGCTAATATTCTAATTTTTTAATCTTTTTTCCCCTCTTATGATTGCTTATGATCCTTTATTAGATCATAAGCACCTTAAAGGAAGAAATTTGTCTTCTCTAACTTTTTATATATTCAGGTTATTACAGAATATATTAAGTATATTCTGGATACATAAAATATGTTGATGTCTAATAATATAAGAAGTTAATAGAATGATTTTGAATCTATTGCCTATAGAAAATCAGATTAAAGATCTTTGGTGTTATGTTTTATTTTCTCTGAGATTTTAGGAAGGATAATTTTCTCTAGTATCTGAGTTTTGCCCTTTCACAGAGAAAAGTAGTGTGGTTGCTGAGTATTTTTAACATTCTGTAAAATGTTATTTTCTTTTTAATTTCTTGTATTTTTCAAGTATGTATTGATAATTGACAAATGAGAATCTGTATCATCAATGTTCATGTTAGTTAACCTTAACTAAATAACACCTACCCAGATAATAATTAGAAGGAAGGATATATCTAAAGCAAAATTCTTTATAAACTGAAACACGCTGGTAAGGAATGTAACACCTTTTAATTTATTACAAATCTTAATAATGAGTTATACTTAAATTATTAGACACATACAAATATAAATGATTAAAAAACTGATAGTTAAGGGCTATAAAAAGGTGGAATATATCATGAAATGTACTGTTTATACTTAGATTTGAAATTATTTGATGACTTTCAGTCTGTCTTCCTCAATATTTGGCCCTTTATCTTTATGTTAATAATATTTAATAATTTCTAAAGTCATGAATCAAGATATCATTAACCAGCTTGCTAATCTTCCACATGTAAATTTAGACACTTTGTTCATTCTTTTGCAAAGTTCAGTAAACTTTAAATATTACCTTTTCATAGAAATATATAAAATAAACTGAGAATTAAGTGATCACAGTTTGTAGAATGATCTTTGTCCTTCTGAATCTGAATCTATCATCCCCTTAAAGATGTGGTGTCTTCTGCTTCAGACATTAGGACTTACTTTATGACCCTTGGCTTTTCAATAGGGCAGTTAACATAACTTCAATATGTTAAAACTGTTGGTTAATAGTGTATCCTCTTAGTGAGTTTTATTAGCAAATCTCGGGGGGAAAATTGGAATATTTGCTATATTTTTCT